GCGGCCGCGCGGCGCAGCATCCGGTAGCCTGGCCCGTACTCGAGCCCGACGCGGCCAAACGCCGCGTACAGCCGCGCCAGGTCCACGGCGTGCGCGCAGCCGGCGCGGGCGGGCGCGAGCGCGAGCGGCGCGAGCCGGCTGTCGGACGCGGCGGCCGAGCCGCCGCAGTGCGCGGTGCGCTGCTCGTCCAGCTCGCTCCGGATCTCGAACCGCTCCTCCGCGCCGCCCAGCTCGCAGCTCAGCCACAGCCGGTCGAGCGAGCCGTCCAGTAGAAAGGGCTGCAGGAAGAAGGCGCGACGCAGCACCGCGCCGCCGCCAGCACCACCCGACGCGGCGACGCACGCCGCGCGCGCCATCTCGAGGTAGCCCGCGCCGGGGAACACGACGCGCCCCTGCACGACGTGGTCGGCCACCAGCGCCAGCAGCGCCCCCGCCGCCGGCGACCGCAGCGTCACCGAGCCTCCCTCCTCCCCCTCGGCCCTCCGGTGCGTCAGAGGGTGCGGCGTCTCGCGCCACGCGAAGCGGCGACGCAGGTACCGAGGCGGCTCGATGCCGGCCTCCGGCCCGCCCCGCTCCGCCGCCGCCTCCACCTGCAGCACCGCGTGCGCGATCGTGCCGCTGTACCCAAACGAGCTCACGCCGCTGACGCGGGCAGAGGCGCCGTCGGAGGGCGCCGGCAGAGGCGCGAGGCCGACTGGCAGCAGCGCCGAGGACCCGCGCAGCGCGGCGCTGACGTGCTCGTTGAGGAGGCGCAGCATCGCGTTCGGAGGCGCCTCCGCGTGAGAGAGGGACAGGGCGAGCCGCACCATCCCCGACGCGCCCGAGGAGGTTTCTGCGTGGCCGGCATTGGCCTTGATGCCCGCGAGCGAGATCGGCTCCGAGGCTGGCGACCGCCTCGCAATCACGGCCGCCTTGAGCGAGCCGGCCTCGATCGGGTCGCCGAGCGGCGTGCCCGTGCCGTGCGCCTCGACGCAGCCAAGCTGGTCGGGTGAGGCCGCCGCGTCCGCCAGCGCCGCCGATAGCAAGCCCTGCTGCGCCAGCCCGTTTGGCGCCGTCAGGCTCGCGCTCTTGCCGTCCTGCCGCACGCAGCTGCCGAGCAATGCGAACCTTCTGAGGCCGCCTCCACCGCTCCGCTGCAGCGCCGCGGAGCACATCGACTCGCCGCGCAGGTACCCGTCCGCGCGAGCGTCAAACGTGTGGCAGTGGCCTCGCGCGGAGGTCATGCCCGCCGTGGCAAAGGTGACTCCGACGCCGGGCAGCAGCATCAGGTTGACGCCCGAGACGAGGCCGCGCTCACACTCGCACAGCTGCAGCGCCCGCATGGCGCCGTGGTTGGCAGAGAGCACGGACGAGCACGCCGTGTCGTACGAGACGCACGGCCCCTGCATCCCGAGAGTGAAGGAGATGCGGCCGGCCGCGATGGAGACAGCGCTGCCCGTCGCCGCGTACACGCTCCGCCCGAGCGGCGAGTACTTAACGATGTCCACCCAATCGTTGGAGGCGATGCCGACAAAGACGCCCGAGACGGTACCCGCGAGCGACGCCTTGTCGAGCGCCGCCGCGTGGAGGGCCGCGTAGCTGCTCTCGAGCAGCAGCCGCTGCTGCGGGTCCACCGCGACCGACTCCGCTGGCGAGACGCTGAACCGCGCGTTATCGAAGTGCGCGGCGTCGCGGAGGAAGCCGCCGTGCCGCACCCGCAGCGCCACTTCCCCCTCCAGCTGCGCGAGGCCGTCATCCCCCCACCGCTCGGGCGGCACCTCTGCGGACACGTCGCTGCCGCACGCGACGAGGCTGCGCATCGCACACGCCGTCGTGACGCCGCCAGGTAGCCGTGCGGCGAGCCCGTCGACGTCGACCCAAACGTCAGCACTTGAGCACTTGGGCGGAGGCGGTGCGCTCGGTGGCAAGTCGGCGAGGCTGTCGTGGGAGGGCTCCTCGGCGGTGTCCGCAAAGTAGCCCGCGAGCTGGCGCGCCGTCGGGTAGTCGAAGATGAGCGTCGAAGGCAGCGTCATGCCCGACTGCGCCTGCAGCTGGTTGCCCAGCTCGACCGCGGCGAGCGAGTCGAGGCCAGACTCCATCAGCGGCGCGTCCGGGTCGACGCTCTCGCCCGTGGTGCTGTAGAGGGTCTCGAGCAGCGACTCGAGGGTGATGGGGCCCGCCGGGCCGGCGGCGCTCGCAGCCGCAACCTTGAGGCCTGCAAAGTGGCTGAGGATGGGCGGCACCTGCGGCATGACTCCAAGGAAGCGGCTCCACGAGATGAGCACCAAGCTCATCACCGGCGGCCCGCGCGGCAGCAACGTCGCTCTCCACGCCATCGAGCCGCTCGCATACTCGATGAGCGAGATGCCGGCCGACTGCAGCCGCTGGTTGACCGTGGCGCCGGCCGCCGCCATGCCGACGTCCGCCCACGGGCCCCACTGCACGCTCGAGGCCGCCTGTGCGCGAAGGCGGCGGCACGCGGCGAGCGAGTCGAGGCAGCTATTGGCGGCCGAGTAGTTTGCCTGACCCGCGCCCCCAAACAGGGACGCAATGGAGGAGAAGAGCACGCAAGAGTCGAGAACCGCGACCGCAGCCGCGCGCTGCAACGCCCATGCACCGAGCGCCTTGGGCGCGTAGGAGCGACGCAGCAGCTCCGCGGATTGGGACGAGAGGAGGCTGTCGGCCAGCACGCCCGCTGCGTGCCAGAAGCCTCGCAGCGGCGTGCCGGACGGCTGCAGAGCGGCGGCAAGCAGCCGGCGCACCTCGGCCTCCTCCGAGGTGTCGCAGCACGCGACTGCGATGCTCTCCCCGCCGCTGCCTGCACCGCCGGCCGCCCGCACAAGCCGGGCGCGGCTCGCCGCCGCCACGCCGCCGCTGCGCGACGCGAGCACGACCGTGTCAGCGCCGCTCTCGAGGAGCCAGCGCGCGTTGAGCACGCCGAGGCCGCCGCTGCCGCCCGTCAGCACGTGCGCCCCTGCCGGCCGCGCCTCGCGCAGCGGCGGCAGCCGCACGACCACCTTGCCAATGTTGAGCCCGCCCTGCAGGCAGCGGAACGCCGACTGCACGCCCCCCTCGAGCTCGAAGCAGCGCAGCGGCAGCCCGTGCAGCACGCGGCTCGCCAGCCGCGCCGAGAGCAGTCGCAGCGTGCGGCCCATCCACCACGGCGCCTGCTCGATGGTGCTGTCGAGCGCGATCGCCACGTAGCGCGCGGCCGCCGACGCCGCCTCGCGCCGCTCGTAGCTCCACACCGCGCGCTTGCCAATCTCGCACAAGCGGCCGCCCTCGCGCAGCAGCGCAAAGGAGACGGCGATGAAGTCGGCCGAGAGGCTGTTGAGGACGGAGTGCAGCCGGCGCGCCCGCAGCTGCGTCGGCAGGCCGAGCGCGAAGGCGGCGGGCTCGCGCGAGCTCGTCGTCGCGTCAAACAGGCGGGCGGAGCGGAGGAAGTGGTGCTTCTGCGGCTTGCCCGCCGTCGCCGCCGCGCCGCCGACGCGCAGCCAGCGCGCGTACTCGGCAGCGGCGAGGCCGACGCCGCCCGCGCCCGCCTGGAGCAGCAGCGCGCTCCCCGCCAGCGGCCTCGCCGCCAGCCACGCCTGGTGGACGGTGCTCCACGTCGTCGGCAGCGTGCACGCCTCGTCGGGCGACATGGACGGCTCCATCGCAGCGACGAGCCGGCAGTCGGTGCGCGCCACGCTCGCCAGCGCCGCCAGCGCGTGCCCCACGACGGCGTCGCCCACGGCGATGTGGCGGACGTCGGCGCCGAGCGCGGCGACGCGGGACGCGCTGTCCGCGCCCGGCTCGCCCGGGTCGCCGGGGTACACGCCGAGCACGTTGAGCACGTCGCGAAAGTTGAGCCCCACCGCGCAGACCCGCACCTCCGCCTCGCCGCGCACGCACGCAGACTCGTCGCGCAGCTGCGGCACCACCCGCAGGCCGCCCACCGCGCCCCGCGCGTCGAAGTGCAGCCTGACCGGCCCGCAGAGCGAACCGGCCGCCGGGGCGAGCCGAGGCACCAGCCACGCGCCACCGCTCCACACGTGCTCCGGCTCGCTCGACTCGTCCCTCGAGGCACCCGCGAGCAGCGGCAGGATCGACCGGCTGACAGCGCCTGCCGACCGGCCGACCTCCTCGTCCACGAGCGCGAGGACAGCCGCGGGCGCCTCGGCGCGCCCGGTGCGGGAGAGGCCGAGCAGGCCGGCGTGCGAGACGCTCGGACCGCTCGCGACGCGAGGCCCCGTCGTGCCCGCCGTCACAAACGCGCACGGCGGCGCGCTGCGAGAGGAGACGGCGGCTCGCAGCAGCTCCAGCGCCGCGGCAAGGAAAGGCAGCGCCAAACTGTGCGGCTGGCCGCCGCTCGCTCCGGAGCTAAGCAGCAGCGCGCGCGCCAAAGCCGGTGCCACCGAAGCCCGTGCCACGCTGTCCGACGGCGCCACGCTGTCCGAGGAGCGTGCGAGCGGCCTGCCGGCTCCCAGCGCGAGCACCGCCGCCTCGTCGCCGGCCGCGTCCGCCTCCGGCACCGGCTGCCACGCCGTCGCGTACAGGAGCGCGGGAGTGCGGGCCTCGGCGCGTCGCGACGCCTTGTACACGCGCGTCTCGAAGCCGCGAAGTCGCACGCCGACCGTCCGCCTGGCCTGTGCCAGCCACACGTCCGAAAGGCCGTCGCGCTGCCGCTGCACGAGCGAGAGCATCTCTCGCCCGCTGGCCGACAGCAGCGTCGCCTCGGCAACCGAGAAGGGCAGCCTGGTCTCACTCGAGCTCCCCTGGATAAGGCCCGTCTGCTGGAGCGCGCCGTCCAGATCGGCCGGGTGGACCCGCGTGCCCTCGAGCTCGCACCGCCTGCGCAGCCACGCGGACGACGCCGTGGCGTCGGCCGAGACCGCGACCTGGCGCAGCATCCGGTAGCCTGGGCCGTACTCGAGCCCGACGGAGCGGCACGCAGCGTAGAATTGGCCGAGGTCGACGAGGTAGCTGCAGGCGCAGCGGGCAGAAGCGGGAGAGGCGAGCGGCGCGAGCCGGCTGTCGGACGCGGCGGCCGAGCCGCCGCAGTGCGCGGTGCGCTGCTCGTCCAGCTCGCTCCGGATCTCGAACCGCTCCTCCGCGCCGCCCAGCTCGCAGCTCAGCCACAGCCGGTCGAGCGAGCCGTCCAGTAGAAAGGGCTGCAGGAAGAAGGCGCGACGCAGCACCGCGCCGCCGCCAGCACCACCCGACGCGGCGACGCACGCCGCGCGCGCCATCTCGAGGTAGCCTGCGCCGGGGAACACGACGCGCCCCTGCACGACGTGGTCGGCCACCAGCGCCAGCAGCGCCCCCGCCGCCGGAGTGCGATACGTGACCGGGTCGCCGGGCTCGTCCCGCAAGGGCGGGCCGCGGACCAGCGGGTGGAGCGGCTCGAGCCACGCGAACCGCCGCTGCCTGTAGGCAGGCGGCGAGGCCGACTGCGCGTCCGGGGCGGGGATGCGAGCCCTCGCGCGCAGCACAGCGTGGGCGATCGTCCCCGCATACCCAAACGAGCTGACGCCACCGACACGGCCGTGGTCGCTCGCGCCCGCAGGCACCGGGGCGAGCTGCGCGGGGAGGGCGCACGAGGCGCCCTGGAGTGCGGCGTCCACGTGCTCGTTGATCGAGTGGAGCTGGCCGTTGGGGGCCGCCTCGCCTCGCCGCAGGCCGGCCGCGAGGACGAGCAGGCCCGCCAGGCCCGCGCCTATGGTCGTGTCGTCGACACGTCATGGACGTGCAGTGGCGCTCGTGCAGCCCCGGAGAGGCCAGGGCGCCGGGCTCGGTATGGCCGACGCAAGACTTGACGCTGCCGAGCGCAAGCACGCTCTCCCCGCGCCCTTCGATCAGCGCCGCCACCGAGCGAGCCTCGATCGGGTCGCCGAGCGGCGTGCCCGTGCCGTGCGCCTCCATCATCGGCATCTCGCCAGCACGCACGCCCGCGAAGGCCAGCGCCGCCCGCAGCAGCGCCTGCTGCGCCAGCCCGTTTGGCGCCGTCAGGCTCGCGCTCTTGCCGTCCTGCCGCACGCAGCTGCCGAGCACCTCCGTGCCGGCGGCATCAGAGGGAGAGTCAGAGGGGGTGGTGCCTGCGCGCAGTGACACCGCCGTGCACGAGTCGCTTCGCACGTACCCGTCCGCGCGGCTGTCGAAGGTGTGGCAGTGGCCCCGAGCCGAGGTCATGCCGGCCTGCGCGACGACGGCGCTCGCCTCCAGGTCGAAGAGCATGTTGACGCCCGACGCGAGCGAGGTGGAACACTCGCCGCGCCGCAGCGCGTGCACGCCGCCGTGCAGCGCCGCGAGGGCGCTCGAGCAGGCCGTGTCGAAGGAGACGCACGGCCCCTGCAGCCCGAGGGCAAAGGAGACGCGGCCGACCGTCACCGAGCATGTGGCGGCCGTTGCGGCGTAGACGCTCTTGCCCAGCGGGCTGCTCCGCAGCACCGCGCTGTACTCGGAGGCCCACATGCCGACAAAGGCACCGACCAGGCTGCCCAGCATGCGCGCCCGGTCGAGGCCGCCGGCCTGCAGCGCCTCGTAGCCGCGCTCGAGGACCTGTCGCTGCTGCGGGTCGACCACCCTCGCCTCGGACGGCGAGATGCCGAAGAAGGCGTTGTCGAAGAGCTCCGCCTGGAGCAGGAAGCCCGCGTGCCTCAGCCGGTCGGCGACGGCCGGAGGGACGGCCTCCGACGAGCCTCCCCAGCGCAAGCGGGCGGCGGTGTCGTGGCTGATCATGCTGCTGCCCGTGGCGGCCATCTGCCACGCCAGCGACACAGAGACGGCGCCCCCAGGCAGGCGGCCGCTGGTGCCGACGACGCGCACCACATCCTGGCCTTGCGGGGCTGGGCCGTGCGCTGAGTCGTGCGCCGCCGCCTCAGCCTCCCGCGCTGATGCCTTCGGCTCAAAGTAGCCCGCGAGCTGGCGCGCCGTCGGGTAGTCGAAGATGAGCGTCGACGGCAGCGTCATGCCCGACTGCGCCTGCAGCTGGTTGCCCAGCTCGACCGCGGCGAGCGAGTCGAGGCCAGACTCCATCAGCGGCGCGTCCGGGTCGACGCTCTGCCCCGTCGTCTCGTGCAGCATCTCGAGCAGCGACTCCATCGTGATCGGCACCGCGGGCCCGCCGCCGGACGCGCCCGCCGCGGAGACCGCGACGCGCTGGCCCTCAAAGCTGGACAGCAGCGGCGGCACCTGCGGCATCATGCCGAGGAACTTGCCCCACGCCACCAGCACCGCCGCCACCACGGCCGGGCTGCGCGGAAGCAGCGACGCTTGCCACGCCGCGACGCCGTGGGAGCGCTCGATGAGCGAGATGCCGGCCGACTGCAGCCGCTGGCTCACCGAGCCGGCCGCCGCCATCCCCACCTCGGCCCACGGGCCCCACTGCACGCTCGAGGCCGCCTGCGCGCGAAGGCGGCGGCACGCGGCGAGCGAGTCGAGGCAGCCGTTGGCGGCCGAGTAGTTTGCCTGCGCGCCGCCGCCGAGCAGCGCCGCGATCGACGAGAAGAGCACGCACGCGGCGAGCGGCGAGCAGGCGACCGCGCGCTGCAGCGCCCATGCGCCGTGCGCCTTGGGCGCGTAGACGCGACGTAGAGAAGAGGGGGTCTGCGATGGAAGCAAGCTGTCGGCCAGCACGCCCGCTGCGTGCCACACGCCGTGTAGCGGGGGGGCGCAAGCCTCCGAGACGCCGGCGACAAGAGCCTGCACATTGATCGCGTCGGCAGTATTGCAAGCCACGACAAACACGCGGTCCAACTCGACCATCGACCGCTTGCTCGCCGCCGCCACGCCGCCGCTGCGCGACGCGAGCACGACCGTGTCAGCGCCGCTCTCGAGGAGCCAGCGCGCGTTGAGCACGCCGAGGCCGCCGCTGCCGCCCGTCAGCACGTGCGCCCCCGCCGGCCGCGCCTCGCGCAGCGGCGGCAGCCGCACGACCACCTTGCCAATGTTGAGCCCGCCCTGCAGGCAGCGGAACGCCGACTGCACGCCCCCCTCGAGCTCGAAGCAGCGCAGCGGCAGCCCGTGCAGCACGCGGCTCGCCAGCCGCGCCGAGAGCAGTCGCAGCGTGCGGCCCATCCACCACGGCGCCTGCTCGATGGTGCTGTCGAGCGCGATCGCCACGTAGCGCGCGGCCGCCGACGCCGCCTCGCGCCGCTCGTAGCTCCACACCGCGCGCTTGCCAATCTCGCACAGCCGGCCGCCCTCGCGCAGCAGCGCAAAGGAGACGGCGATGAAGTCGGCCGAGAGGCTGTTGAGGACGGAGTGCAGCCGGCGCGCCCGCAGCTGCGTCGGCAGGCCGAGCGCGAAGGCGGCGGGCTCGCGCGAGCTCGTCGTCGCGTCAAACAGGCGGGCGGAGCGGAGGAAGTGGTGCTTCTGCGGCTTGCCCGCCGTCGCCGCCGCGCCGCCGACGCGCAGCCAGCGCGCGTACTCGGCAGCGGCGAGGCCGACGCCGCCCGCGCCCGCCTGGAGCAGCAGCGCGCTCCCCGCCAGCGGCCTCGCCGCCAGCCACGCCTGGTGGACGGTGCTCCACGTCGTTGGCAGCGTGCACGCCTCGTCGGGCGACATGGACGGCTCCATCGCAGCGACGAGCCGGCAGTCGGTGCGCGCCACGCTCGCCAGCGCCGCCAGCGCGTGCCCCACGACGGCGTCGCCCACGGCGATGTGGCGGACGTCGGCGCCGAGCGCGGCGACGCGGGACGCGCTGTCCGCGCCCGGCTCGCCCGGGTCGCCGGGGTACACGCCGAGCACGTTGAGCACGTCGCGAAAGTTGAGCCCCACCGCGCAGACCCGCACCTCCGCCTCGCCGCGCACGCACGCAGACTCGTCGCGCAGCTGCGGCACCACCCGCAGGCCGCCCACCGCGCCCCGCGCGTCGAAGTGCAGCCTGACCGGCCCGCAGAGCGAACCGGCCGCCGGGGCGAGCCGAGGCACCCGCACCGCATTCCCATCGATCACGTGCTCCGGCTCAGCGAGGCCTGGCCCGAGGAGGCCAGTCGCCGCGCGGGCCGCGGCGTGGCGCGAGGCCGCCCGAGACACGGCGGCGGTGTCGGCGCAGGCGAGGCACGCCGCGGGCGCCTCGGCGCGAGCCGAGCGGGTCAGGCCGAGCAGGCCGGCGTGCGAGACGCTGCTTGCCGCGGCGGCGCCTCGGCCCATGACGCCCGAAGTGAGGAAAGTGCACGGCAGCGCCCTCCGCGCGACGGCGTTGGCCCGGACGATCGCGAGTGCGGCGGCGAGCGTCGGGAGCGCGATGCCGTGCGGCGTTGCGTCTTGGCTGCCCGCCTCGAAGAGCAGGGCGCCGCAGCCTGCCCCCGCCGGCCTGGCTGGAGGGAGGGGCCCGGCCGCGGCGCCTCGGACTGCGGCGCTCAGGCTGAGGGGCGAGGAGGTCGTCTCGGCGGGGCTCCCGTCCTCGCGCGGAGGAGGGGCCGCCTGCCACAGCGTCCTGTAGAGGTGCATCTGCCGCGCCGCCTCGGCGGAGCGGACGGCCTTGTACACGCGCGTCTCGAATGCGTCGAGATGCGTGCCGGGCGGATCCCCTCTGCCGTGCCGTGAGAGCCAAACGCCGGAAGTCGTGTCGCTCTGACGGGCGACGGCGGAGCAGAGCCGACCCGAGGCGGACGCGAGCCGCGCCTCGCCGACCGAGAAGGGCAGCCGGATCTCGTCGCTCGACGCGCCCTGCGCCAGCAGCGCCGTCTGCTGGATCGCGCCGTCCAAATCGGCCGGGTGGACCCGCGTGCCCTCGCGGCGGCACCGCCGATGCAGCCACGCCACCGACGCGCTGGCGTCGCCGGCGGCGGCCGCGCGGCGCAGCATCCGGTAGCCTGGCCCGTACTCGAGCCCGACGCGGCCAAACGCCGCGTACAGCCGCGCCAGGTCCACGGCGTGCGCGCAGCCGGCGCGGGCGGGCGCGAGCGCGAGCGGCGCGAGCCGGCTGTCGGACGCGGCGGCCGAGCCGCCGCAGTGCGCGGTGCGCTGCTCGTCCAGCTCGCTCCGGATCTCGAACCGCTCCTCCGCGCCGCCCAGCTCGCAGCTCAGCCACAGCCGGTCGAGCGAGCCGTCCAGTAGAAAGGGCTGCAGGAAGAAGGCGCGACGCAGCACCGCGCCGCCGCCAGCACCACCCGACGCGGCGACGCACGCCGCGCGCGCCATCTCGAGGTAGCCCGCGCCGGGGAACACGACGCGCCCCTGCACGACGTGGTCGGCCACCAGCGCCAGCAGCGCCCCCGCCGCCGGAGTGCGATACGTGACCGAGCCTCCCTCCTCCCCCTCGGCCCTCCGGTGCGTCAGAGGGTGCGGCGTCTCGCGCCACGCGAAGCGGCGACGCAGGTACCGAGGCGGCTCGATGCCGACCTCCGGCCCGCCCCGCTCCGCCGCCGCCTCCACCTGCAGCACCGCGTGCGCGATCGTGCCGCTGTACCCAAACGAGCTCACGCCGCCGACGCGGGCGGAGGCGCCGTCGGAGGGCGCCGGCAGAGGCGCGAGGCCGACTGGCAGCAGCGCCGAGGACCCGCGCAGCGCGGCGCTGACGTGCTCGTTGAGGAGGCGCAGCATCGCGTTCGGAGGCGCCTCCGCGTGAGAGAGGGACAGGGCGAGCCGCACCATCCCCGACGCGCCCGAGGAGGTTTCTGCGTGGCCGGCATTGGCCTTGATGCCCGCGAGCGAGATCGGCTCCGAGGCTGGCGACCGCCTCGCAATCACGGCCGCCTTGAGCGAGCCGGCCTCGATCGGGTCGCCGAGCGGCGTGCCCGTGCCGTGCGCCTCGACGCAGCCAAGCTGGTCGGGTGAGGCCGCCGCGTCCGCCAGCGCCGCCGATAGCAAGCCCTGCTGCGCCAGCCCGTTTGGCGCCGTCAGGCTCGCGCTCTTGCCGTCCTGCCGCACGCAGCTGCCGCTGAGGCCAAAGCGCTCCGCGACGTGTGTGAGCGGCGCGGCCTCGCGCTGGCGCAAGTACGCGCTCTCGCCTCCACCGCTCCGCTGCAGCGCCGCGGAGCACACCGACTCGCTCCGCACGTACCCGTCCGCGCGAGCGTCGAACGTGTGGCAGTGGCCTCGCGCGGAGGTCATGCCCGCCGTGGCGCACGCGACGCCCGCCGCAGGAAGGAGCATCAGGTTGACGGCGCAGACGAGGCCGGCGCTGCACTCGCTCAGCTGAAGCGCGCGCAGCGCCGCGTGGCCGGCGACGAGCGCCGCCGAGCAGGCGGTGTCGTAGGCGGCGCAGGGCCCCTGCAGGCCGAGCACAAAGGAGAGCCGCCCCGACGCGATGGAGTGGTTGCTGCCCGTGGCGGCGTAGACGCTCCTCGCCATCGGCGAGTCCCGGACGATCTCGGCCCAATCGTTGGCGGCGATGGCGACGAAGACGCCCGTCAGCGAGCCGAGCAGCGATCCGCGCTCCCTCCCCGCGCCGTGCAGCGCCTCGTACCCGGACTCGAGCAGCAGCCGCTGCTGCGGGTCCACGGCGGCCGCCTCGGCGGGCGAGACGGAGAAGCGGGCGGGGTCGAAGAGGGAGGGGTCCGCGAGCCAGCCGCCGTGCCTCGCTCGCAGGGCAACCTCCGGCGAGAGTGAGTCGAGCTCGGACAGCCTACTCCGCACCCACCGCCCGTGACGAGACCTCCCCGCCCCCGATGGCGGCGCGGCGGGGAGGTAGAGGCTGCCGCTCGTCGCCCCACCGCTCGGGCGGCACCTCGAGGGAGCAAGCCATGGGTCATGGCCGAGACGCAGCCGAGGTGTGGCCGAGGTAAGACGCAGCCGCCACGTAGCCGAGATGCGCACCTCGCGGACCAGCTCGCTGCCGCATGCAGCGGCGCAGCGCAGCGCGGAGGGTGCACCCACCCCCGCAGGCAGCGTCGCCGCGAGGCCGAAGACGCCGACTCGCGCCGCGAGCGCCTCGAGGCGGGCGGCGGGAAGGCCGGTGGCCGGCAGGGTGGCAGGCAGGCTGTCTTGCAGCGCCTCCTGCATGCCGCTGCTCGCAAAGAAGTCCGCGAGCTGGCGGGCAGTCGGGTGGTCGAAGATGAGGGTGGCGGGAAGCTCCTCGCCCGTCTGCTGCTGCAGCTGGTTCCCCAGCTCGACCGCGCCCACCGAGTCGAGCCCCGACTCGAGCAGCGGCGCGTCGGCGTCGATGTGCTCTCCGGACAGCTCGTACAGATTCGCGAGCACCGTCTCCAGCGTGACGGCCGGAGCGCAGGAGGCGGCGTGGGCGCCGCCGGCGGGCCGGTCGGAGGTGGCGACGAGCTGCGTGATGTCGAGCGGCGGCGCGGCCGGGGCCCCGAGAGCGCGGCTGGGAGCGCCGGCGACGCCGTTCGCCTTTGCGGCGCCGCCTGGCTTTGCGGCGCCGCCTGGCTTTGCGGCGCCGCCTGGCTTTGTGGCGCCGTCGGCCGCCGCCGCGTGGCCGCTGGCGTGGCCGTTAGGCGGGCTGACAGACCCGTTCGACGGAGCGACCGCGAACCTGTCGAGCGGCCCCTTCGGCGGCGGCCGTGGGAGCGCCAGGCTGCCTCGACCCAGGCTGCCCAGGGCCATCGCAGCAGCCTCTCTCTGCCTGGCCATCACCGCGGCGAGGGCGCAGTCAATGTGGCGGTAGCTCCCACAGTCGTTCTGGCGCCGCCCCTCCGTCAGCAGCACGAGGCGGCCGCACTCAGAGCAGGGACCGCGGTGAGACAGCGGCTGGTCGGCCCAAGAGCGGCGAGAGGACGAGGAGGAGCTGTCGCCGCCGGTGGAGGAGCCGGGGACGGGAGGCGGCGTGCGGCTCGGCGAGCTGGCGCCGGAGGAAGGCCACTCCTCGGCCATCTTCATGTAGGCGAACATGCGGCTCTGGCCGAGCAGCGACGAGGAGTAGGTGCGCAGCGTCTCTTGCTGCTCCTCGAGCCTCTTGCTCAGCTGCACAGCGATCGCTTTTGACTCCTCCGCAACGGCGAGCGCTGCCTTGGCGGCGGCGCTCGCGCTCGCAGCACTGTCCGTGCTGTCGTCCGCAGGCATGTGGCAGGCACTCGAGGACCTGCCGAGGGGAAGAGCAGGGCTGTCGGCGGCGGCGGCGGCTGGGGAGTTGTGGTGATGGAGTGTGAGAGGATGGCGGCAGGTGAGGAGAGGGCGGTGGAGGCGAAGGTGTTGGACGACCTCTCCGTTTTGGCAGGGCGGCGGTGGTGACGGCGGAGGGACGCACGGCGTTGGAGGAGAGATTGTTGGTCGGCGACGTGTGGTGGCGAAGAGGGCGTCGGAACGAGCGCTCTCAACCTCCACCTTGAGTGACTTCAGTGCGCATGACCAAACGCAAAAAAGAAGTGAGCAATTTCGCTCACAGCACACAGGCTCGACACAGGTGCGAACTGGCGCGTGCTAGTACTATCACCGGCACACCACCGGAGCCGCAAAAAAGAATTTTCCGAACAAATTGTTAAAAGGTATGGCGGGTGCAGTGCTCTCTACTGCCGCGGCGCCCCTGTCGGTCGAGGCGGAGCTGCAGGACATGATCAACGAGGTGGACGCCGATGGCAACGGCACCATTGACTTCCCCGAGTTTTGCACGCTCATGGCGCGCAAGATGAAGGACACCGACTCGGAGGAGGAGCTCAAGGAGGCGTTCCGCGTGTTCGATAAGGACGGCAACGGCTTCATCTCCGCTGCCGAGCTGCGCCACATCATGACCAACCTCGGCGAGAAGCTGACTGACGAGGAGGTGGACGAGATGCTGCGCGAGGCGCGACATTGACGGCGACGGCCAGATCAACTCACTACGAGGAGCGGGGGGCGTGCGCGATCTCTGAGTAGTTAGGACTTCGGGCAGCGCCCGGTGTATACACGCGTTGCATGTGTAAGGGCGAGAGCTGTGTTCGACCTTGAGCCTTGAATACGATTAGACAACATTTGAGTGCTCAAACTAAAAGTGCCGGGCGAACTAAAAGTGCCGGGCGAGGAGCGGCGACGTGCGTCGCGACATCGGAGGCGCTGTGGCGCGGAACGGCGCGCGGTGTGGCACGGCCGGGGGCCGCGCGGCCGGGGCCGGCGCGTGCCGGCGTGCCGCGGCGCGGCACACATTCGCGACGTATCGCAGCCGGCACTGGCGATCGCGCGGCGGGCCCGGCCGCGTGGGACGGTGTGCACGATCGCGTGCGGCCAGGTCGAGGTCCGAAGGTCCGAGAAGTTCTCAATTCTCAGTCGGCCGGCGTCCCAACGACTCCCAAACCACACTTGACAAACTTGGCTGCGTGGCCCGGTCGCATCCCCGTCTCCTCTGCCACCGTTTCCCGCTCCGCAGCATCCATCTCGAGAATGTAGTTGAGATCATCGTAGCCCTGCTCGTCAAATGCGTCGGCGTACTGCGGCAGCCCAACGCGCTCGAGGGCCTGCACGACTGGCGGCATGCCAATCGGGTGTGGCTGGAGCCGCGGCTCTGCCACCGAAGCAGCCAAGAGCCCAGCGGCCGTGGAGCGCCGCTTAGGCGGCGGCGCGTCGGCCGGTTTCAGCGAGCGCTTTGCAGGGCGGGGCGGGGCCTCCTGACCCTCTGCCTCCCTGACCGCACGAGTGTAAGCCACCGCCGCCTCGACCGCCGTGGCGAAGGTGCCAAGGGAGACCCGCCCTCCGCCGTCTACCTTGTGCTCTGCCTGGAAGCGGCCGGAGGCGCGCTTCCGCACGCCCCTGTAGCCGGTACCGCTGCTGCTGGAGAGCTGCAACCGTAGGCCCTCCGCCTCGGTGGCCACCGCCGGAGGCTGGTAGTGGTACTCGCCGACCACCCTCGCGTAAGCCACCGCCGCCGCCACCGCTGTATCGAAGCAGCCGAGGAAGACCCGCCTTCCGGCCACTGTGTGCTGTGCCATGAAGCGCGAGTGAGTTTTTCCAACGCCCACGTAGCCAGTCGCGTTGCTGCTAGAGACGTGCAAGCGCAAGCCCTCCGCCACCTCCACCACCGGCGCCGGCTCCGCTCCGGCCGCTGCTGCATCCGCTCCGGGCCGTTCGGAGCCTCGAGCGCCATCGGACCGGCGTTCGACGACGTAGCCCGGTGGCGAAGCCGATTGGTCACCGCCGTGCGCGACGTACGCGGTGTACACGCGCAGCTTTTGCGTGTCGGAGAGCCTCGCATACTGGCCGAGGTCGAGAGGTGGCGGCGGGGTGCCCACCGCAGTCTCGCGAATGGCCTTGTCCTGGAGCCGACGCGCGTAGAAGGCTTCGACGGTGCAGCCACGCGCAAGCTCCAAATCGCGGCGCTGCGCGCCCCTCTTTGCTCCGCCATCAGGAGGCGGCTCTGCGTGCGCCTCGCTCTCGTCCGTGCGCATTGGTGCCTCAATTTTCCGCATCGAGGAGTACTCGGCGATGGAGTGGCGGAGCCTGCACGGTGGGGCAAAGATTACGCGCTGAGTCGGTGCGGACAGGGTGTGTGAGGCTCAGGCTCAGGCAAGGAGGAAGGGTGATGGCACCTATCGCCGTCCTCGTACTTGATCCAGAATGCGGCGAGGTCGGGCCGCACGGCGTCCACCGAGCCCCGGAAGGTCGAAACCGCGGCGTCCGTCATTGTGATCGACACTTCCAGCCACTCGCCCAGCGCCGGGAGGAGCGGTGACGAGCGCCGGTCCGCGAACGCCATTGGTGGCGATAACCGTCAGCAGGCCACTTCCGTCGACTTCCGGCGGGCGGCCGGTTACTGTTTCTTTCTCCCGCGCACAACACTGTAAAATTCTTTCTCCCGTTAAAATTCTTTCTCCCGTTGTAAAATTCTTTCTCCAGCGTTTTTTGTGTCAAGAGATATTTTGTGTCCGAAAACTGCTTGGCGAGAAGGAAATTCTTTTTTATCGCCGAAGCGAGTCTTGCTGGGCCGCGCCGACCGAGAGCGAGATCGAACGAGCTCCATCGAACCATCCAACTCCGGTCACCGGGTCTGAACGCGCTCAGCCTCAGGAGGTACCAAACCACGCAAATTCTGCACGCCTCGCTGCGCCGCTGGCTTGTAGACTGAATCACAGAATCAGGCAGCAGCAGGCTGCTGCTGCTGCCACAGCAGCAGTCTGCTGCGGCCCTAATACGCAAGTTAATGACTAGCAGCACTGCCGGGGGCATACATACGAGCCGCCAAAGCCGGTGTGCGGCCGTGCACTGCCACCTGCCCGCGGCTACGCACAATGTGCGCTCGCATTGGATGAGCCCTGCTGATGGACCTGCGTCGCCTAGCTGCACGAGAGCAATGCCGCAGGCGGTGGCCGTGGCATACACTGCGAGCACACTCGGTGCAGCTGCGAGGTGCAGCAAGAGCACGTCGTTCCTGCCTCTGATGCCACTCTCGCGGCTTGCAGCGCGTCACTCGCGCATGCTCTCCAGGAGCTATGGCGGGCGCGTGTGTGGGGCTGTAGCCTGTGTTTGGCCGGTTCTGACCCGTTTACTATCAGTATCATGCCCGGGCCACAAAAAATCGCACACGGGTAGCGGCTCAGGGGCCCAGTAAGTCGCGGAATCGCCCCGCCAAATGTCACAACCTGCGCCACCCAGGGCTGGAGACCTAGTCCGGAGCGCAGTCGCACGCACGTTAGCGTTACTCGGCGAAGAGAAACGAAGGGGAGAGGGAGCAGGGAGCAGGGGGCGCCGCGCCCACTCCGCGTAGAGCCGGGGGCGTCGTGTGGAGAAGAAAAATCGCTCTCCGCCGCAAGCGCAACCCGATACCCTTCAATCTCATTCCCTCCTGGGTGTGCTTCTTTTAGCCCCCCGGCCCTGGATGTGCGGTTGATGACTGCACTCCAAGTGCTCCAAGTGCTCCAAGTGCTCCACGGTGCGATATCTGACACAAGACGTCTACCCTCACCACGCACCCGAGTGTTTCTTCTTTGTCCTCGACCGCCGCGCCGCGTCGCTCTTTCTCCGCTGCTCCGCCTGCAGGGCGCGCTGCTTCTCTGCGAGCGCCGCGAGCTCCTTCTGCCTCTCGGCGAGCAGCAGCGCCTGCAGCGTCTCTCCCCACAGCCGGAAGGCGGAGCGGCACGCCGCCTACGGCAAGGCTCCGAGAAGCCATTCATCGGAAGCTCCGTCCAGGGCAGGGAGGGTGGGGGGGAGGGGCGGGCCTTGTAGTCGGCGCGGCGGCAGTGGTAGCCAGAGTACGACTGCACCGCTCGCGAGGCGCCGCCGACACCGACGCCTACGCCGCCCTCCTCGTCGGGGAACGGCGCCACCGCCGCCGTGGCGTTCGGCTTCGGCCCCTCCTTTCGGCGGCTAAAGTAGTCGCTCACCTGGCGGCAGGCGGGCGGGGACATCGCCCAGACCCCTCTCCTCCCCTCCGCTGCGGTCCCTCTCTGCGCTCCGCCTGGCGGTGCAAGCTCGGCTTGTCGGAAGACCACTCAAGCATCCCGCCGCCTGCGGGGAGGCCCAGAGACCGGCTCGGAGAAGGTCCGGAGGTGGGAGGGCCTACTGAGCCTCGCGGCTCGCCGTTGACGCGCACGTCCTCGTCCGGCGCCTATGGGGACGCTTCCGAGAAGGGTCGGGGGAGGGCTCGGCGGCCGCCGACAGCACGCCGCCGTCTCGCGCGTAGTCGTTGTCGAGCAGGATCTGGTAGCGGTTGCGGTAGTCGCGGTCGGCGAGGTCGCCGTGCCAGATGTGGAGCACGACGCCGGGCGTGTACCTGTTCACAGCTGCCCGTGTGAAGAGCCGCCTCGTGCCCATTTTGGGGCGCGGCGCGAGGACTGCACGAGATGTTGGCGGGGCCGACGAGCGCAGAGATGGAGCGGCCGTGGTCGACGACATGCCTGAGGAGGGAGGGGGCGAGTCGTGGGCGTGTCGTGGGCGTGTCGCTTGAGATGCGCCCCTCCTTGCCCCCCCGCCGCGCCTGGCCATCCTCCGCGAGAACTTTTTGCGCACCCCTCCGTAGTGCCCCGTGAAGGCCCCGAGCATGATGCGGTCCCCGCCGCCGATGATGGAACGGTCGTAGAAGCCGGAGGCCATCACCTCGCGCCTGGCGCTCATTAGTGGATGCGTGATAGCGACTCAAGGCGACGGTGGAGGCCCCCCCCTCGCGCCTCGCGGCCCACGCGAAGCCCGGGTGGCCGAGCAGGAAGCTCGACGAGAAGGCCGAGTCGCCAAACGTCGAGACGCCGAGGCCTGCGCTGTGGTAGACGGCCCCCACGCCCATGCCGAGCGGCAGCTGGCCGAGCTTGGCCACGTAGCCGGAGCCGTCTCCCCCCGCCGAGGCGGGCAGGTACGTCATCCAGCCAAAGGGCTGCACCACCTAGGGTTAGGGTTAGGGTTAGGGTTAGGGCAGGTACGTCATCCAGCCAAAGGGCTGCACCACCGAGTACTCGTCGAGCAGCGCCGCCGTCTCGGGCACCCAGTTGTCGTTGAGGAAGATGAGGTCGGTGTCGAGCCACATCACCTTTGGGCGGCGGAGGTGGCGGGAGAGGGGGTGGAGGAGGAGGTGGCGGGGGAGGGGGAGGAGGTGGCGGGGGAGGGGGAGGAGGTGGCGGGGGAGGAGGAGGTGGTGGCGGGAGGCGAGAGGGGAGGTGGTGGCGGGAGGCGAGAGGGGAGGTGGTGGCGGGAGGCGAGAGGGGAGGTGGTGGCGAGAGGGGAGGTGGTGGCGGGAGAGGGTCGTGAGACGAGTCGTGGACGCGGGCGTGTCGGGGAGGCCTCCCTCGCGCGCTCTCCCCCTCACCTTCTCGACGGACGCAGGCAGGCTCTGCAGCGCGATGTTGAGCAGCCGCTCCTTTTGCCAGAGCGTGTTGCCCTCAGCCGTGTTCCGGTGCAGCAGGATGTCGCAGTCGTGTGGCGCCAGCTGCGGCGGCGCTCGTCCAAAGGTGAGCTCGACGCAGAGCAGCTGGAGCCCTTGAGCGGAGACGGAGGCGCGGAAGTGGCGGAAGTTGTCGACCTTGTTCTCGTGCCGGCCCGGGTTGAAGAAGGTCGAGATCCCGAGGAACTTGCCGTACTCGTCCGACTCCTTCCAGCCCTCGACCTTGCCTCCGACTGGCGCGCCGCCGCCACCTCCGCCGCCGCCTCCGACGCCACCTCCGACGCCGTCTCCGCCGCCACCTCCGACGCCGTCTCCGCCGCCACCGCCGCCGTCGGCACCGCCAAGAGCCTCTTCCCTCTCCTCCTCCTGCTCCTCCTGCTCCTCCTGCTCCTGCTGCTCCTCCTGCTCCTCCTGCTCCTGCTGCTCCTCCTGCCACTCCCGCTGCTCCCGCTGCTCCTCTCCTCTCTCCGCCTCGCCCTCATCCTCCTCAGCCGCCACCACCTCCGCCTCCGACACCAGCTCCCGGTCGAGCGCCGTCTGATGCGGCGGCGAGGGCGGCGGCCAGGCGCCTCCAGCTTGTGCGGGCGGCGCCGCGCCGCCGGCGCCACTCGCAGCGCCGTGCCACCGGACGCCACCACGCCACTCCGACTCGGAGGCGCGGTTCCTCACCCACTGCACGAGGGTGAAGGTGGAGAGCTGGAAGTACAGGAAGCCAAGGCAGAGCAGCAGCCGCTTGCCGCACGTGCAACCAGGCCGAGCGGAAGAGGCTGACGATGCTTCGCCGCCACCACCGCTGCCGCCGCTGCCGCCGTCGCGATAGGCGCGGCTGCTGCCGCTCGCGTGGCACGGCAGGACCAGCCGGTCCTGCCGCGAGCGGCGCGGCATGCTGCCCAGCAGCGCCAAAAAGAGCAAGAGAGAAGGCTTGCCTTTTCTTTTCTTTAAATTCTTTTCTGCTCGCCGACGCGCAGAATGCTGCGTGGCCAGCGTAAGAGCCAGGCCGGCGCTGTCCGAAATAAGACGACTAGACGAGACTACCGAGCCAAACGGCGGCCGAGGCGCGCAGCTCGGATTAAAGGGTCCGTCTGAGGGCGATATGTGCTTCGAGGACAGGAGGCACTCGGCGAGGTCTGCTGCCAGAGATGGGCACGGATGCTGCAGCCGGGCGGGGCTCCCCGGGGCCTGGCGACCCCCTGAGGCCACTCACAGCCGGCGCCTCTCTCATGCAAGTGACCATGTGACATCTTCGGGTACTACCGCCAGGGTGGGAGCACACTCACGGCTGGTACCCGGGGGGAGCTACACGCTGTGTGTGAGAGCGGCCGCTCTCACGTTAGGCACGCAGCGATCGCGCGCGACCTGCTGGTGCGGGCGCGCGCCTTCCTGCAGGCTGGTGCTGAAGCTTTCGGAGCTGCACACTCGGCGATGAAGCGCCGCGTCCGCTGAGAACCGCGCGAGAAGCTCGTCGCGCAGGCCACCAGGAAGGTCGGCCACCGAGCAGTTGCCCTGGACGTGGTGCGTGTTCGCGTGCGAGTGCGGCAGTGCAAAGAAGCGATCGACCGCTCGCTCGCTCAGGTTGAAGGGCAGCAGCGGCGCGAGGAAAGGCAGGTCGAGTCCGGTCGGCTCCGCAAGCTGGTGCGCGTGGCGCAGAAGCTGTGTAAAGTCTTGTTGCAGCCGGTCGAAGCAGAGGATTCGCTCGCTCACCGCTGCAAACTCGACCTGCGGCCGGTCGTGGTTGTCCGGGTCGCCCCGGCCCGGACTGCCGTGCAAGTAAATGTTGCGGATGTAGCTGGCCAGCTTCTCTGGGCTGCACTTCATGTTCCTTCCCTGCCGCATGTTGAACGTCGACACGGCGCGCGCGAGCGGCTCGCGCACGACAGAGAAGGTCTGCTCTTCCGGGTCGGCAAACGCGGCCGCGTAGGACTGGACGCAGTGGCGGCTCGAACTCGAGCCGCATGACGTGGAGTTGCCAAAGAAGGGTTTATGGGTGGTGTTGCAAAGTGCGCTGAGGAGGCTTGGGCACTTGCCGTGCTGGTGCCTCGTATGCAGCCGGATGTGGTGCTTGAACGCCCATTCCTCTATGGAGGTGCCCCCAGTTTTGGGGATGTGCACGTGCACGAGACGGCGTGCACGCTGCTCGCCAACGCTCCTACTGCCCATCCACCCAGTCTTGCAGGCGCAGTCGCCGCGGCCAATGCAGTGCATCGCTGGCACTTCCACAGAGATGTGGAGCGACGTTGCCAACACTCGCGCCACGGCTGCCAGGAGCAGCAAGGCTCGCAGGCGCCAGCGGCACGCCATCTGCTGCACAACGGGCGATTTCGGTGCAGGGGCCCGCCCCACCAAGCCGGCGCCGCACGGGGGCACTCTCTCTCGCCCCTGCCTCATGACACACATCACGGCGGGCTCTCTTCGACTCTCGGGGGGGTGGAGATTTGTTGTACATTGTATGTTGAAGAGGGAGGCGGTAAAACTTGCGCTCTGAGTTGACAGGAACGGCAACTGGGGTCCGTTCTGACTAGTACATGTAACACGTTCTGGCCCTCGCCATTCTGATCATTCCTGGAACACCCTCGGACCGACCCAGGTGGCCGGCCGGGTAAAACTCGGTATACCCGAGAATTCTCAGGTATACCCGAAAAATACCCGGAGCGCGCGCGTCGCTATGGCGCCCTATCCCACAGGCACGTGCGCCAACTGCACCGTGTGCTCAAGTATGCGCGCCGCACCATATGTACCCGCTACAAATGCCAGAAGATGGCCACGGCGGAGCGCGTGGCGCGCCTCGCCGACGGCGGAGGAGACGACGTGGTCGTGCCGACATACTGCTTCGAGATCAAGGAGGAGGTGATTGGCATGCGCTTCGCCGACCCTGAGCGGCTCGTCGGGAAGAAGCGGCGCAATGAGCTGGCCGCGGCGGAGACGTCGCCGTGCTACCTCACCCGCGGCAAGTTTGGAGAGGACCAGAATGACGACGGCTTCATTGATTACGCGCTGGGTCGAGCTCGAGGAGCTGTACGACAACTGCGGCAAGCAGAACCTGAACCGGGCACTCAAGGCGTACCGCACGGCGGAGAAAAAGGCGGCGGACGAAGCCATTGTCGGTTTTGAAGAGGATGAGGGAGGACTGATGAGCCGCGTCACTGGGTCCCTGTGCCTGTCTGTCTGCTGCTAGTGCTGAGAGAGAGACTCCGGGTCTCACTCAGCGCCTCAGGCGGGCCCAGTGGCCGGTGTTCTGAAGGTTCTGAGAACGCATTCCGAGCCTTGCCATTCTGATCATTCCCGTTACCTTGTCAACTCAGCGTTGCGCTCTTCCCACACCGAGGAGGCAGCTGACCCTCCAAGCGCGGCGAGAGTCGCGGCAACTATTCTGATTGGTCTCTTTTACGCGCCTAGCCCACCAAAAATCCCGTCAGCAGCGTACGTACCTCGTACGTACGCCGGGAATGTACGTAGAGCAACAAACTTGGAGCACTTTTGAAGTGCAGTCATTAACACCGCACATCCAGGGCCGGGGCCCGGCTAAGAAGCACACCCAGCGGGCCGGATGATTGGCATCGGGTTACGGGCTAGAGAGCCCTAGCTAGCCCCGGGGGTGCGCGTTCGCAGGGAAAGGGCCGTAAAGTAAACACGGTCTCCGTACTCCGAGGGTTGGCTCTGCCCTCTGCGCTTTGGGTTTCCCCTAGCTGCGGAACGCCCCCTCTACTCGGAGCTATAGACACCAAACACGAGAAAGGGGAGGGCTTGGTGGCGGAGGAGAGGGCGGCGGAGGAGAGAGGGTGGTGATGGAGAGGGCGGCGGAGGAGAGGACGGCAGCGGTGAAGGCGGTGGAGGAGACGGCGGCGGTGGAGAGGGAGGCGGGGGCGAGGGAGGATGGCTTGGTGGGGATGGAGAGGGCGGTGGTGGGGACGGTGGCGGCGGCGAGGGCGGAGGCGGCGACGGAGGGAGTGGAGAGGGTGGAGGCGGACGGGAGAGGGTGGCGGTGGCGAAGGCGGTGGCGGAGAAGGGGGAGGGCTTGGCGGCGGAGAAGAGGGCGGCGGAGGAGAGGGTGGTGGTGGAGAGGGCGGCGGAGGAGAGGGCGGCGGCGGTGCAGGCGGCGGAGGAGACGGCGGCGGTGGAGAGGGGGGCGGGAGCGAGGGAGGAGCGTTTGGTGGAGGAGGAGAGGGCGACGGCGGCGACGGAGGAGGTGGAGAGGGTGGCGGCGGAGAGGGCGATGGCGAAGAGGGCGGCGGCGGAGATGGTGGTGGCGGAGAGGGAGGCGGAGGTGAGGGCGGAGGGCTTGGTGGCGACGGCTGCTGGGCTGCTGCGGGCGGCGGTGGCTGCTGGGCTGCCGCGGGCGGCGGTGGCTGCTGGGCTGCCGCTGGCACCTGATCCTCATCGCTTTCATCACTACTGTCGATGAGGTTGATCACAGGCATGGCCCAGAGGTATCCTCGGGGCGGCGGAGGGGGAGGTGGTGGGGACGGTGTGGCGGCGGTGAGGGTTGTTGCAGATGTCTCAAATATGAGGGGTTTTGACTCCTACCAGCTCCTGACGCTATCCCTGGCAGCTCTAATGACCAGGATCAGTAGTGCTATAATAGAGGGTGCCCATACTAGCGCAGGAGCTGCCACACTCGCCCGGACCGTCCCCTTCTGGGGCCGGTTCCGCAGCCCGCGAGAGCCGACAGCGGGGCCGTGCCGCGGGTGCCTACTGCCGAGTGCCACAAACACTGCGCCGTCCCGCCATCACCTACAGGCTGTCTTGTGTGATGGTTGGGATGTCCAAACGCCACCATCTTGGCTCTTGCGACCTCAAACCCGCGAGCTGTATGGGTGGTCCTGACATCGACAGACGCCCGAGGACCACGGTGAAGCTGAGCTGGAACGAGTCGACAAGTCTCGTCTGAGCCCGTGGCGGTCGCCGGCTGAGTCGCTGTGCACGGACCGGTACCTCAGGCGTCACCTCCGCAGCCTCAGGTCTCACACTCCATCACCTCCGCCGGGACGCCGTCGGTGGCACGCTCGGCGGCGAGTTTGTTGCAGCCCCACAGCGAGCGCGGCGTCGAGCCTACTCGGTCTGGTCGGTCGGCCGCACTCCCTGGGTGCCAGGGAGTGCGGCCGACACGCGAGCGGTGCTTCCTGGCAGCGCGCGCCAGCTGTGGGGCTGCAACAAACTCGAGACACGCTTTTTTGCAGGGGCTCGGAACCTTCTCTGTGGCCAGTCCATGGCGCGGGAGCTGTCGTCTGCACTATCTCGCTGCGTGCTCGGTCCTGGCGGGTCGGAAACGCGGTCCAGGGGTTCTCCCGCTCGCCGGCCGGTGTGGCCGGCGCGCTCTCCTCGACGCACGCCGCGCTCGCCCCTGATATCGGCCACGAATCCTCAGCGACGGTGCGCTCCGCCAAACGCTCGACCCGCCCGACAGCCTCCAAACGGGGCGCGCCACCCGCAAACGGGGCGCGTTGGAGGGTGGGTGTGGTCCGCGCGTGCGGAGCGCGTGCGCCTGAGCGGCCGCTCGTTTATGCGCGCGTTGTAGGTGCCATGTCGGGGCGGGCAGCGTTGAATGACGCCATGGTGGCGGAGGAGGAGAAGGCGATCGTGGCGCGGCTGGCGGCGCTGCTGCCGGCGCTGGGCCTCGCGGCATGCGTTCCGCGGCTGCCAATCAAACGCAAGCTCCGCGACAACGACTACGCGCCCAAGCACCAGTCTGGCACATCATGAACGAACGATCAACGACACGCGCGAGCGGCAAGGGCGGCAAGGGCTCCGGATATCGGCCATGACTCCCCAGCAACGGTGCGCCTCGCCAAACGCATGGCCCGCCCGCCAGCCTCCCACAGCCCTCCCCTCCGCTCTCACCGCCGCCGACGCGCCGCCACGCCGCCTCTGCCCTCGCCGAGCCGTCGCCACCGCCCTTCTCGCCGCCTCTGCCTCCCGCCCGCCTCCCGCCCGCCTCTCCCGTGCCTCTGCTCTCCCGCCCCGCCCAAGCGGCACCGCGCACGCGAGACGCCCTCTCGAGGCGGAGCCCGTCCAATGTCGCGCTAACGCGCGATCGCGTCTCGCCCACGGCGCACACTCACACCAACGCACACCATGTCCCGCTCAGGCTCCTACCGGAGAATCATACCCTCCACGACACTGGCGTACACGGCGACGGTCCCGTGCACCGGCGCCGTGCCGAGCCGTCCTCCTGCTCGGCGACCAGCTCCGCCGTGTCTCGATGCCGGCAGCATCCGGTGCGTCGCCGCCGGCGACACCGCCCGCTGCGGCGAGTGGCATGTGCGGTGGCGCGCCCTGCTGCGTGGCCGCCGCCGGCTCGGACGTGGCCGCGGCTGGAGCCGGGCCTGGGTCGGTCGCGGCCAGAGCCAAAAATGGAGCGCAGCTAGGGCTGCGCAGCGAACAGGAGCGAGTTCGCGCTGCGGTGCTCAGTACGGCGAGTTCGCTCTGCGGCCTGCTCGGGCTTTATCTCTCGCGTCTCGGCTGCGTTGGCGGCTGAAGTCTTTTTTATCGGTGCGTTTTAGCTGTTTTAGCAGCAAACGTCCGAATTCTGCAGCGATGACCGATCTGGGAGGCGCGAGTGCGACGAGAGGCTTTCCGCTTTGCCTTTTTTTTGGTCTGGCTGGGAATTTGGTGCGAGAGACGGTCTCAGACCCAAAGAGAATGCAGAATCTAATGTTTTTTCACACACAACACAGACACAGACACTGCGCTCCCCTCAGCTCCCGCGCTGGCAGGGAGACGCGAGCCCTGACGGAGTCCGGTGGTGGGGGCCCGCCACGCAACTATAGCGCCGCCCTGCGCTGACATGGTTCGTGCTGAGCCGCCGCCGCCGCTCGCTCTCGAAGAGCGTCGCGCTGCTGCCCGTTCCCGGAGCGCAGAGCGCGAGTTTGGTGGTCAGGGCCTCGCCTGAAGGGGGGGTGGGGCAGGGGGGAGAAGATGAGGGCGTCAGCGAGCGGGTGGGGCTGCCGTGAAAGTGGTGCGCGGGGGTGGATGCACCTCACAATACGAGCGAGTAGCGGAAAGACCGCCCGCTACTCCGGCGGAAGAGTGCTCCCCCGCCGCCCCCTGGGTCACCCCGAGTGACCTCGCAGCCCACGCCGTGAGGCGCTGCTGCTGTCAGGGGATGTTGGGGGCGTGCAAAGCGGCTGGGAAGAGACGGCCAGGCTCCTCGCGGGCAAAAGACTGACGTGGCCGCCGCATTCAGCCTCCGGCGGGCCTCCGGCGGACGCCTGCGGCGTGACGCTCCGCGCGAACAGCCCCGTCTCGGAAGCGCTGCGGGACGGCCTCGCTTCAACGTGCGCCTGCCGGGGTGGGGTGGTCACCGAATGAAATCGCGGCCGCAGCTGCTTCGAGGGGTGATTGAGGCCGGGCAGGAACGGCTTCTCCCGTGGTGCCCGCATCGAATAGGCCGACCACACAAATCGAGGGCTGCGTGGACCTCCTAGGCCTTCTTGGTCGGGTCGCTCCTCCTGGCATGGCGCTCGGCCTGCGAGCACGGGCGGAGCGAGCGGTGAGCGGGCAGTGTGCCGCCGGACGGGGAGCTCCGTCACCCTATCGCGGAGCTCTGGTCCCGCCCCTGGGCCGGGATGCGACCCACAATAAAACCCGTCCCACCCGAAGTGCATCTCCGGGAACGGCCTCCTCGAAACGGAGGCGCGGCGCGGGCGGCGCGCGGGGCAAACGGGCGCACCTTGGGGGCTCCGAGGGGCCTGCCGACGGGCCTTCAGGCGAGCCGCGGACGGGCGCCGGATGCTCTCCGCGCGGCGAGCCAGGCGAGGCCGAAGAGGAGGACGGACCGCTCAGGCGCCATCGAACCTGAATTTATTTAATTTAGACACGTGTATATTATTTTTGCTTGGCCGGCCCTCATGCTGAAATTCTGCAAAAACCTGACCGGCCCCTGCCCTGCCCCTACCTACCTACCTACCTACCTACCTTACTTATGGGAAACTAAAAAAGAAATCACTCGATCGGTGAAGGTTGGGTACTATACCAACTAAAGTGATGGCTGGTGGTACTATCCTGCAACCACAGTCCTTCCTGTGACATGGCAGGCCACTCTCAAGCCCTACAAGCACCAGATCAACGACTTGGGGAGGGTTGACATCGTGATTTGGCCGGAAAAATTCTTTTTCTGCTGTGAAAATTCCGGCGTAGGGGCCGCCGCGCATGTACTCGTGCAGCTCCGGGGGCGCGAGCCCGAACTCGTAGCTGACGATGTTGCCGCGAGCGAGGCACGTGTGCATGTTGGTCAGCACGTTGGCGACGGGGAAGTACAGGCCCACAGGGGAGAGCAAGACCTGCAAGGCGTGTGTGCGAGGCGGGGTGAGTGCTGCACGCGTGAGGCACACAGTGTGTCTACAGCGCGCGTGTGCGTGTGTCTGCACGACGCGCCTTGGACTTCTTGCGGTAGTCGAGGAAGGGCCAGAGGTTGACGATCTTGCCAAAGCCCCACTCGACAGTGACGCGCGCGGGGGACATGGTGCTGTTGAAGAACTGCTGGGCCGGGGTCATGGCGCCCTTGTACATGCGCCACAGGAAGGCGCTGATCGGGTAGGCGGAGTCGCCAAAGAGGCAGTAGTCCTGGCCGAGGCCACCTGGCATCCACGCAAACGGGCCGCCGCGGCAGAGGTCGTGCAGGATCTGGACAATTCGCGAGCGCGAGAGGACGGTGGAGTCGTGCCGGCTGCCGTTCACCGGGCCGAAGGGGTAGGGCTGCATGCCTGCGCGCACTGGTCGTCCACGTGACGTGTGTTTTGGGGGATGAACTGACCGCTAAGGAGGTGCTGGTCACACCGTTTGGGAAGATGATGCCCTGCGTCTTGATGCCGTGGATACGCTTGTGGCCGGAGTACAGCACATTCTGATACCTGCCCGGCCGGCACACCGCCCAGAGCTTGCCGTCGATGAAGCCGATCAAGTTCTGGATGGGGAGGCCATAGTCGGTGAAGGCCTGGGCAAACTGGTGGAAGTGCGGCGACCACGAGGAAAAGGAGCGGTGGTCGACGAGGTGCGGGAATGTGTTGTGCACATGCTCTACCTGCGCAAGGGGTGCAGAGAGCGGTGCGGTCGAGTGCACGGTGCAGCAGCACAGAGCACATCCAACGGCGCGCCATGTACAGCGTGACCTCGGAGAGGGCGGAGATGTTTCGCCCCGTCGTCCACGTCATCTTGTCGAAGCCGTCGTCGCTCCGGAAGCGGAGCAGCAGCAGCAGCACAGCTTCCTCGCCGGTGAAGAGGTGCCCGCCGACAGTCTGGATCACAGCCGGCACCATGAGCGCCGCGATGACGATTGGCAGCCAGCGAAGGTGGAAGCCGTAGTTCTGGTACGTGGCGCTCGAGACATCGTCGCCGGCGTGCCCGCGAGCCGCCGCCTCGCGCTGCAGTCGCGCCACGCTCAGCCGCTCGGGTCCGATCTCCTGCGTCCTCCGGCGCATGAGCGGCTCGACGCCGGTGACTACGAGCTCGTCCTGCACGTCGAGGTCGCTCTCGGAATCGGAGTCGAGCATGTTTGCCATGCCAAAGAAGAACTTGGACTCCAGGAGCTCGCCGAGGAAGTATGCGCGGCTCGGCATCAGAGAGTGTCAGCAGCAAGTGTACGACCGGTGAGAGCTGCAAAAGCGCGTCGGGCGGTTCGAAAATCAGCTGATTTTCGAAGTGTCGAACACAAGTGTGGAAGCAAGTGTAGAAGCGTGGCAAAAACCCCCCAATACGTTCCAACGTCCTGCTTTTTTGGGACATTTTCGACGCTTTTGTCCCATAGATCTATACTCGTGCAACAACCCGTGAGGGCGGAGAGACAGAAACTCGACCGCGAGGACAGGAGGTGTGCGCACCCTCATCTAAGACAAAACTCGACCGCGAGAGCAGGCGCACATGCCACATCGCTTCCAGGGAGGGGGGGCACTTCTCTGCTCACAACATGCTGGGGGGGGGGGGGGTCCCAACTCCCCAGAGGCTTCGCAACATGCTAAAGGGGAGGGGGGGGTCGTCCGACCCCCCCAGAGACTTCACCACATGGGGGGGGGGGGGGGGGCGGCAGATTGCATGGTCCTCGGAGGCGAAACCTCGGCAATGTTACACTGTCTCCTCGGAGGCGGAGAAGGCCTCTGCATTGTTACACAGATGTTGCACCGTCTCCTCGGAGGCGTGGAGGAGGCCTCGGAGGTGCCTCGGCAATGTATTACATCGGCAGCGAGGGCGGCGAAGATGGAGGCGGAGGGCTCCCCGGGGAGAGGCACGCCTCAGCCAGACCGAGAGCTTCAATGCAGGGAATGGTCTGCTCGCAGGCAGCATTGGCATAGGCGCATGCATTGTTCCCATTCGGGTCCGTAAGCCAGATGTTCGCTCCCGCCTTGACCAGCACGGCTGCAATTTCTTTCCCGCCTGGCCACTTATCGCCAAACAAAATCACTCGTGCTAGAGCATTCAGGAGCGGGGTTCTTCCCCGAACCATTTCGTCGAGGTAAGCGCCCTTGCCAACCAGGAACTCTACGGCGTCGAGGCTTCCATAGATGCTGGCCATCGATAGGGGAGTAGCTCCGTCGCTTGATCGAGCAAAGTTGACGTCAGCACCTGCCTCGACCAAGGCCTTGACAATGTCGTTTCTCGTCGCCATGCCACCTGCAATGCCATCTGGCGTCGCCATCGCAACTATTGCCCTGATGAGCGCGGTGTCACCCTGGGAAATAGTCCGGTCGGGCTCGGCTCCCGCCTCGAGCAGCATGTTAACGATCTCAAGGGCCCCCGAATAGTCGCTGTGCCGAGTGATAATAACCGCGGCGACTAGGGGGGTGGTTTCATATTCCCCCTGTTTTGTGTTGACGTCTGCGCCCGCATCGATGAGCAGCCTGGCGACCTCGACGTGCCCGGAATTGGCCGCCATCCCCAGTGGCGTGGATCCGAGACTCGACCGCGGCTCGTCAATGCCCGCACCGCCGTCAATCAGTTTCGTGGCGAGCGCGACGAGGCCTTCCGCCGCGGCGAAGAAGAGCGCCGACCAGCCGTTCTCCGGGTTCTGCTCGTCGATATTCTCCGTGTCTGCGATGAGAGCGTCCATCGCCGCTGAGTCGCCGGCGAGCCCTGCCGTCCAGAGCACGGGGGGAGGCGCGGAGGGGGGAGAAGGCGGTGAGGGCGGCGACGATGGTAGCGGCGGCGAGGGCGGCGACGAAGGCAGAGGGGGCGAGTTTGGGGGCGAAGGCAGCAGCGGCGAGGGCGGCGGCGAGGGTGGCGGCATTAGCGGCGACGAGGGAGGCAGTGCAGAAGACCCAGAGCTGGCAAACAGCAGCTCGAGCGCCGAACCAGATGGCGCAGCGTTGACGGCGCTGATGATGGAGCCAATCAGAACGACAACGCACACCATTGATGGAGAGAACGAGATTAGATCAAATAAAAAAAACGCAAATGAGTGTAAGAGTGTAGGCCATCATCTGTCTCGCGTCCACCCAAACTGGCTCTGGTGTCCGGTCCGAGCCTGGCTGTTCTTCACCTTCCTACATAAAAACATGTTGTTTTTTGTGCTGCTAACCACAACGTATTCTGGAAACACGCTTGTCACACATATTGTCTCACCTTCTCGATCATCCGGCCCGCTGGGTGCGCTCCTCAGCTCCCCGGCCCTGGATGTGAGGTTGATGACTGCACTCCAAGTGCTCCAAGTGCTCCAAGTTCTCGAGCGCCAAGGTACGCCGCGTCGCCGGGCCCCGCTCTCAAGAGAGCCTCTCATGATGGGCCGCTGAGGACTGAGAGAGAGATTTTTAGAAGCCAACAAGACATCTCTTCGCTCTCTTGAGAAAGGCGCCCGTGAGAGCGACGCCGACACGGCCGATTCCGAGAGCGAGCTCGGCCAGCTCCAGGGATCCTCGGGATACAAAATCCCTAATCCGCCTCGGGACGCGTTCAGCTTCAGGCCGGGTAACCACAAACCAGCTACCACCCCGCCCCCCCCCCAGATGGCGCGAGCCGTTCGATTCTACGTAGCTCGATTCACAGGCACCGACGTAGCTCTGCACAAGCGCCACACTAAACACACGACCTCACAGGACGAGCCGCCCTTGCGCGTCGCGCGGCTCGGGGAAGATGTGCGGCGCCGCGCCGCGCCGCTTCGTCTCCGGATTGTCCTCGCTGGTGGCCCAGTTCCTGCCCGCTATCGTCTGCGCCTGCCCGATTCCCATCCCCGGGTTGGCCTGCCGCAGGCGCGCAACCTCAGCGCGCATGAAGAGGCCGAGCGCGGAGGGCGCCACCGCTTCGCGGCGACGGAGGGGGTGGAGAGGGTGGAGGCGGAGAGGGTGGCGGTGGCGGTGGCGGTGACGAATGGGGTTTGTGGAGCGTCCAGGGATGTCCAGAAGGTCCAGAAGGTGTCCAGAAGATGTCCAGAAGGTGTCCAGAAGATGTCCAGAAGGTGTCCAGAAGGTTGGAAAAGAATGTGGGAACGTCTAGAGGGTCCTCTGCAGGTGTGCAGAAGGCCTCAGGTGTTCTACCGAAGGTCTCACTCAGTCAGGTTAAGCCGTAGGTCACACGTGTCTCAAAGAGTCGCCTCCACGAGTGAGCAACCCAGTCAGTCATGGGCTTTGAAAAGTAGACATTGTGGTTTGCTGGTGAAGGCCTGCGGGCCTTCTGGACATTCTGGACATTTGAGAGAGAGAGAGAGAGAGAGGGCCTAGAGAACACAACCCCCTCTCTCTTTTCTCCCAGTAAGCTAAAAGTACGACATTTGCTAAAGCTTGCTAAAGCACCTTCTGGACATTCTGGACATTTGCTAAAGCTTGCTATCTCGCAAATACTTGATTTTTCACGCCGTGTAACAATCGTGATCAAACGGCCCTGCTGTGAGCTGGTACACCAAGAATGGCTTACCACTGCCAGGAGCCACACTGTGGCAAGCTGTGATGAGCGTGGTTTGGCTTGTGCAGCCCATACGGACGTGGTATATATACATATATGCGGCCACGTGTCGGCCGGTTCGGGGCACGAAATCCGGATTTTTCCACGGCGTAACAATCGTTGCTGTAGTGGCGCCAATGGCCGCCTCCCGTCGCGCCATTGGCACCCTAGCCAGCAGTAGCACCGGAGGCAACACCACCAAGCCCACAAGTCACAAGAGTGACGGAGATGCTTGCCACGAGCACCGTGACGCCCGACCCTGTGAGCACCGTGGGCGTATACGGCTGCATACGGTGAGATGATGCACAGCATGGCCAGACGAGGGATGCAATGCTCGCCAGCTGTATGTTAGTGAGGTATATGGATGTGATCAACATTTGTGAATCACAGGTACGCGCAGCAGCGCATGTAGCCGCTGATATCGAAGACAGCGCAAACAGGTCTTTTTGCGCCACGCACCCGATGGCCGTGCTGGTCCAACTGCGTGCACAGGAATGCTATCAGCGCGTCTCCGCCATAACTGGACATGGCAATGAAGCAGCTGAGACGTGATAACACCGGTGCTGGGCCAAGGAGGTGCCGCTCACCGCCGATTGTTACGACTGTCGTCGAAGGCGAGCGGCGGTCGCCGGGCAGCAGCTCGTGGCGATCGTCGATCCGCGAGCTGCCAAGCTTGTCACAGGCCGGCACTGGATCGAGGACGATGGCGCCGCGCGGCTGGAGGCAACGGAGAAAGGCATTGTGGAGCGGCGAGGCGATTGTTACGAATTTCGAGGGTGCGGAAAAATCCGATCGCCTGGAAAAATCAAGTATTTGCGAGATAAGCACCTCTGGACATTCTAGACAACTGGCGCGAACCACTCGCGCCGAAGGGCGTGTTGGGAAGATTCTGTGATTACCGCTGCGTGGTCGCTCGGTGGCCGTCGCGATCGGTCGTCCCGTGCCGGCCTCGGCCTCGCGGCCCTCGCACACCTTGGGTTCGTCTAAATTCGAATCGCCGTTGTGGAGTACGGGCGCGGCAAAGACGGCGCCTCGACAGCGCCTCGACGGCGGCCGCAAAAGCCGTCTCATGCACGTCGCCGCGCGGCCTCGAGGCGCCGCGAGCGTGCACTGCGGTCAGCACTACCCGCTCCGGCCCGAGACGCCCGACGCGCGCGCGCGCGCGCTCTCTCCCACCTCTCCACCCAGACGCTCCACGGTCGCTGTGTCGCAGCTGTGTCGCGGCATAACCACCGAGCCGCAGCGCGGCGCTCGGCCCGCGCCGCCGTCTCACGAGCTCGTCTCTCGCCCGCCGCGCAGGCGAAAACCAACTCGATGCCTCAAGGCTTGACTCGAACGACTCTCGTCACTGTACCCGCCCTCGTGCCACGCTGCAGCCGCCGCTCTCGTCTCTCCTCTGTCGCTTCGCCGCGGTCGCGGCCGCACGGAGGTGCCACGGGCGGTGCGAGTGATACTCCGCTTCGCGCCGTCCGGCTCCATATACTGCGACTGTCGCGCCGCGGATGAGTGCGGTTTGTCCTGCCCCGCGCGCCTCGCGCCGCCGCGGCACTTGTTTGTAGTTTTTTTTGCTTGTTTGTTGTTGTATACCGCCTTGAGATGTAACAATCACAGATTCAGTAAGAGTCTGATGGGTATGACCACACTTGGAGAGGTGTACAGAATGTCCAGAATGTCCAGAAGGTGTCCAGAAGATGTCCAGAAGGTGTCCAGAAGATGTCCAGAAGGTGTGTCCAGAAGGTGTCCAGAAGGCTTCTGGTCAAAATGCAGCTATTTAACCTTTCGCCATTTGAGAAGGCCAGCTCCCCACCCCTGGCTTAATTAGTAATAGATCTAGATCTTTCAATTGTGCCGCTCTCAAATCTAGTCTGGTTCAGAATGGCGTCCGCGGTCCCGAGATATTACGTAACAAAGGTTTCCCTGGACGCTCCACAAACCCTATTGACGGCGAGGGGGGAGGGCCTGGTGGCGGAGGGGAGGGCGGCGAAGGAGAGGGTGGTGGTGGAGAGGGCGGCAAAGGAGAGGGCGGCGGCGGTGAAGGCGGTGGAGGGGACGGCGGCGGTGGAGAGGGAGGCGGGGGCGAGGGAGGAGGGCTTGATGGAGGAGGAGAGGGCGGCGGCGGCGACGGGGGAGGCGGAGAGGGTGGCGGCGGAGAGGGCGATGGCGGAAAGGGCGGCGGCGGAGATGGTGGTGGCGGAGAGGGAGGCGGAGGTGAGGGGGCGGAGAGCTTGGTGGAGGTGGAGAGGGCGGTGGTGGGGATGGTGGTGGCGGAGAGGGTGGTGGCGGGTGCGGCGGTGGAGGCGAGGGCGGTGGCGGAGACGGCGGTGGAGGCGATGGCGGTGGCGGTGACGGTGGCGGCGGAGAGGGAGGCGGAGGTGAAGGAGGTGGCGGAGACGGTGGTAGCGGAGAAGGAGGCGGAGGAGAGGGCGGAGGGCTTGGCGGCAGAGGAGAGGGAGGCGGAGGAGAGGGCGGAGGGCTTGGCGGCAGAGGAGAGGGAGGCGGGGGAGAGGGCGGAGGGCTTGGCGGCAGAGGAGAGGGAGGCGGAGGGCTTGGCGGCGGTGGAGACGGCGCCGTCAACGGGCTCGACTGAAAAAAGAAAGTAACTCGGCGCAGCGGTGTAGGCCGGCGTGACGTTCTCCCATCCCTCCACTGGAGGAGACATACATGATGTCAGTGCTGCTCCTCTCGCTCCTCACACACTCCTCCTCCGAGCCGCCTCCCTTCACCGTCGCCGCCTACCTGCCCGAGTGGCGATTCGACAGCGCCAACTATGAGCGCATCTGCAGGACCGTCAACATGCTAATCTTCTTCTCGATAGAGGTGCATGGAAATGGGACGCTCGCCGCTCTGGACCGGCTGCCGCGCCTGTCGCTGGTGCGCGAGGCGCGGCCGCACTGCAAACGAATGCTCCTCTGCGTCGGAGGAAATGGCCGCTCCGGCGGCTTCTCGGCCGCCGTCTCGAGCCGCAAGTCGCGAAGGCGATTCATCTCTGCGCTGCTGCGGCTGTGCGAAAAGGCGGGCTTCGACGGCGTCGACTACAACTGGGAGTACCCTGGCTTCGCCTTTGGCTCCGGCTACAAGTCCGAGGACGATGTCGCCCGCGACTACCACGGCCTCCAGTACCTGCTGATTGAGACTCGGGAGGCACACCACTGCGCAGAGACAGACACGTGCACGTGGCCCCAGGAAGGGACGCCGCCGGGCCCGCACCGCACGCTCACGGGCAGTCGAGGACGGTCCACGCACGGGGTGGCACGGGACGGCGACACGGGACGGCGACACACGCAATCCGCAGCCGCCGAGTCGAGCCCGCTCGCTCCGTCAGGCGTTTGCTGCCTCTGGCCGAGTCGTGACGCTGGCCACCGCCGCATGAGACATGGAGGTGTCGGTGCTGCCCCTCTTTACCGCTGGTGGTGGTGTGAACAGGCGTACTACCCGGACAGGAAGCAGGAGACGATGCTCGGCCTCATGCCGGGCCACCCTGATCCTTCTCGGAGCCTTCTCGGAACCTTCCTGCAGGAGAGGATGCTCGGCGTCATGTCGGAGCACGTCGACGCGATGCACGCGATGGCGCACCGGCCCCGACACACCCGCGACACGCCCAGGCACTGCTCTCTTCCTGGCACTGCTCGCACCGCGCAGAACCTCGGGCGGCTGCGGGCGTGCCGCCACCGCCCCTCTCCGCCCGTCCCGCAGGCGTACGACCAGTCCGGCAGGCACAGCACGTACGCTTTCGCGGAGAAGGTTGCGGCGCAGGCGGTCGAGCTGCTGCCTCCCTCCAAGGCGCGGCGTCCTTGGGGAGGCGACTCGGAAGCGTCTCGGAGGGTCAACCCCGCACCCTCCGCACCCGCAGGTGACGCTCGGGCTTCCCTTCTACGGCCGCCACTTGCAGACCGGCGAGAGATAGAGCCGAGAGGAGCCGAGAGGGGCCGAGCGGAGCCGAGCGGAGCCGAGAGGAGCCGAGCGGAGCCGAGCGGAGCCGAGAGGAGCCGAGGTTCCCTTCGACCGGCACGTGCAGACCGGCGGAGGGGCGGTGGACCTTTGGTAGCGAGGGCGGGGCGGGCTCTTCACCGCTCGAGGCGCGAGTAGGCGACTGGAAGAGCTACGAAGATCTGATGAAGCCGGAAGACTTCCCGGACGGCCCGAGCGCGTCGCTGGAGGCGGACGAGGCCGGGGGCTACTACTACAATGGCCCTCTCACGATCGCGCGCAAGGCGGCGGGGAGGGGGCGGGAGGGAGGACACGCCCACTCGACCCGTCCACGACCACCCCCCCCGCTCGCCCTCCCGCAGGTGCGGCTGGCGGCGTCGCACGGGCTGCAGGGCGTGATGGTCTGGGAGGCGGGGCAGGACTGCCGCGAGGCGCCCGTCTGGCGGCACGGCAAGGCGGCGGAGCACCCCCCAGCCCTCCTCCTCGAGCCTCGCAGCCCGCCATTCCCCCTCGACAGCCCCGTGAGGCCTCCCCGCCCCTCCTGCGCAAAGGTTGCGCACGTGCAGACCTGCCCCGAGCAAGGGCCGGGCGCGTCGCTGCTGTCGGCGATCCGCGGCGCGCTGCCGCCGTCGTCGGAGGGAGCCGGCCCGCACGACGAGTTGTGAGCGGCTCAGAGACTGGTCGGAGCTCTCCACGCTCCCCTGATTCTATTGGACGCCTCGGGGGCGCGCCGCATGTCACGCATTCCACAACATCCAACATTGCATCAACAAGCGGCGGCGGCGTCCGGCGATATTGCCGGATTTGGGCCAATGCACAAAACAACCCGCAGCACCGGCGCGCTTCGGCCCATGGGGGAGTAGTATCGGCCAGAGTCTGCGCGCACCGTTTTCTCACCGATCTCAGTCCTTTTTGTGCGCCCCAGAGATGTGCTTTAAACGAACGTCAACAAACGAATCGCTCCGGCAGGGGGGCGCACACTCGCAGGCCCGAGAGCGGCCGAGTGGCCAAGGGCCCCGCCGTGCAGGGGGCCGGGCCACACGACCAGGCCCACGCACCGCGCGCTCACTCAATGGTTCTCTCGCGAACTAGACACACTCCACACAGAGACGCACAAACAATCACTCGAGACATGGCGCGACGACGCCAGTAGACAGACGATCCCGCTTCCATGCTCAGCGTTCCATCCTCGGCGGCTGGCTCTCCCGCGCCGCCGCCTCTACTCAGCTCTACCTGCTGTCGCGCGAGTACCACACGCACCACGCCAGCCTGCGGGTAGAGGCGAGGGGCGGGCAAGGGTCGGTCGCGTGGCGCAGTGCGGGGCGCAGGCGCGTCGCTGCGCGCGGTGGTGTGCGGTGTGTGCCGGGGCGGGGCGGCGGGGGAGCGGTGTCCGCGGCACCCGACGAGCACCAGATAGCAGACGAGCATCCACCTGCGGGAATCGGGGAGAGAGGCGTCGGGGAGAGAGGCGTCGGGGAGAGAGGCGTCGGGGAGAGAGGCGTCGGGGAGAGAGGCGTCGGGGAGAGGCGTCGGGGAGAGAGACGCCGGGGAGAGGCGTCGGGGAGAGCAGGCGAGGAACCCACCCGTCCTCCTCCTCCCGCTCCGCCACCGGGATGGGCCAGCCGTGCTCTCCTACACACGAGCAAGAGGAGGCGTCGGCGGGCGCGCGAGCAGCGGAGCGCGACCGCCCTGCTGCGCTCTCGCCCTCTTGCGACTTTGCGCCCTTTCGCGGCGACTTAGCCGCCCTCGGCGCGCCGGGAGGCGGTTGCAGCCGCGGGTCGGGCGGGTCGAGGCCGACGGTGGGCGGGGAGTCAATCTCCGGGTCGGAGAGGGAGCCTTGCGAGTCCTCGAGCGAAGCGATGTGCTGCTGCAGCCGCTCCGGGAAGTACTTTCGGTCCATGCCGAGCAGCTTCTGGATGACGTACGAGATCGGGTTCGCGTCGCTCGCGCCGGGCTGCGACGCGTCCGCGCCGCCTAGCAGCCAAGGAGAGCGAGTCGCTACTCACGCCGCCCAGCGGCCATGAAGAGCAATCGCTGCTAACCAGCAGCAGCAGCAGACCGACGCCTTCCTCCTCCGCGGCGGCCGGGCGACGGGTGGTGGGTGGGAAGGGGCTGGGACAGCCTCACCGTCGGAGTGGAAGAGGGGCGAGGCGCGCATCGCGACGACAAAGGGCTGCATGAGGAGGACCTTGGCCATTGCGTTCTGGAGGTTCGTGGCGCAATGCTTGTCGTGCTTCTTTGCTATCTTGAGCACCGCGAGGTAGTTGAGGATTAGCCACCGCAGGCACGCGTGCACCTGCTCCGTTTATGTGAGGATTAGCCACCGAGGCATCAGAGAGTGCAGAGTGCACTGCTCGTCGACTGGACAGGCGCCGACAGCGACGCCAACTCGCCAGAGACGGATGTGTGGGCCGAGGTGTGGCACCTGCTCCTCTTGCTGCTGGCGGAGGTACGGCAGCTCCTCAGTCGCTCTTTCCCGATCGAGCAGCTCCTTCTCCTGCCGCAGCCAGAACGCGTTGATCGACTGCAGGTCCTCGCGGATGATCTTCTTGAAGTGGCCCGTTTGGAAGATGGAGGTGATCTCGTGGCTCGCGAGCCTAGGCTTCGAGGGCCGGGTTAGGGCCTGGATTGAGCTTGCGTCCAATACACCGCTCGCGAGCCTGCTCTTGATCAATTTCTTTAGCTGCTTGTACCTCAGCCTCGGCCAGTCGGGCGTCCCGGCCAGCTCGAGCTGGTACAGCCGGCCAAACTTCATGCGTCCAGCGAGCGATCAGCGCCGTTCTGGCGCACGAAGGCGGACTTGATCCAAACCGACACACAGTGTCCTCACCTCCACCAGTCGAAGGTGGTGGAGCCTCTGCTAAAGCCGTCGGTGTGAGGGGAGTGCGAAAAAAAAGGGTGGAAATCCCGACAACGTATTATTAAAAAGAAAAGAAAGGGCAAAACCAGACACGACACAATTCTTCTCAAGGTGGCAAAATTCTCGACGGCGGGCGCGGCGGGCGCGGCGACGGGCAAAGCTCGTGCAGATATGGTCCTTCGCGCCGCGCTCTTGCGTGGGCGCTCTCGAGGCCGCCGATCAGCCTACCTGCCGACTACACCGCAGCCATGTGGCCTGCCAATTTCACTTTCAAGAGCAGCAATACGCGCTTTGTCAATCATCCGTTGAATCACACTCGCGACCTGGGCAGCGACGTCGCTGCCCGCATTGAACTCATGACGCGCCCCGACTGGTGATGGCGTATGTTGATCGCGGCCTGCAGTGAGGAGCTACGTCGCCCGCCTCGACCTGCTCGCGGTGGCGGCGGCGGCGTCCGACGAGCGCGCGGGCGGCGTGGAGGGCTAGAGCAGGCGCAGCGGCGAGGGGGGCGCGCATGGGCCATGGCTTATCACTTCACTTTTTCGACCAATTTTATTGCTGAACAGTTTTGTCATCAGTGTTGAATGTTGCCCATTTAGCACCCGCTCCTGACCCATCTTCCGCTCTCCCCCGATCCGCGATCGTGCGGCGCGCGCCTCGCGGGCCGTGGGACCCCACATCGGACCACTACGCGCATGGGTACCTCCCGTAAAAGGACCCGCGCCGGAGAGCGCTGTGCGGAAATACCGTAAAAGTGCATCAATGGGCAGCTGCAACCCGCTCCGGTAGAATGGCGCCGCACTCCCGCAACAACCACTCGGCAGCATCCCACGGCTAGAAAAAAATTTTTTGAGCGCGCCCTGGTTTTTTCCGTGCGCACCGCCCCGCACTATCAGCCCTGCTTATCGACTTGACCGCCTGTGCGACTTGACCGCCGGTGGCCGCCCCATGTCAGCGCTCGGCTCCATGGGCATCCGCTTCGTCTCCAAGGCGGAGATCGAGGCTGTGCAGCAGAAGGCCGACGAGGCCCGCGCGGCGAGCCAAAAGGCGGCTGCCGCGCAACGCAAGGTGGAGGGCGAGGCGAAGCGGCAGCGCGTGGCGAGCGGCGATGCGTCATGGGTCGCGCCGGCGGTGGAGAGGCGGCTCAAGCACAAGAAGAAGGACAAGAAGGAGAAGCGCGAGAAGAAGCCGAAGAAGCACAAGCACAAGCACCGGCAGAGCGGCTCCGAGAGCAGCAGCGAGGAGGAGGAGGCGGCCGCGGCGAGGGAGGGGCAGCCCGCTGCGCCGCCGGCGGAGGCGCCGAAGAGCCGCGACGCCGCCGGGCTCGGCTTCATGAACGCGGCGCCCGCCGGCTTTGGCGCCGCCCTGGTCGGCCGGCGCGCCGGCGCGCCCGCTCCGGCCGGGCCGACCGCCGATGAGGCGGCGGCGGAGGCGAAGGCGCAGGCGAGGATCGCGCGGGAGCTGAACCCATACGCGGACGCGGCAAAGGACTCCTCGCAGTGGACGCGCGACGGAGTGGCGCGCTTCTCCCACGCTGCAAACGGAGGCGACGGCAGCGGCGGCGGCGGCAGCAGCGGCGGCGGCGGTGGCGCGCCGGTTGGTGCTGCTGCTGTGTCTCGGCCCGCCGGCACCGACGGGGGCGCGAGCTGGCGGCAGAAGCAGCTGCTCCGCGCCGTCGAGCACGCCCAGTCGAGCGGCGGCTCGCTGCAGGCGCCAGCACTTGAGAGACACTTCCGAGACACTTCCGAGACACTTCCGAGACACTTCCTCGACAGGTCGCAGACACCTCCGAGACACTTCCGAGACACGTGGTAGAGACCTCCTCGCCAACCGCCGCGAACAGGCGGTCTGCCTCGAGCGGTTCGGGAGCCTCGAGTCGCTGCCCGAGATGCGCCGCATCCAGCAGGAGCTGCAGCGGGGAGGAGGAGGAGGAGGAGCGGGCTCGCACGCGCACCTGCAGGCGACCGCAAGAGATGCGAGGAGGCTGGTAGTGGTCAGTGGTGACAGCAGCTCGCACGCGCGCACCTGCAGGCGATCGCTGAGCGGCAGAGGGAGCACCGCAGGGCCCACGGGCCGGGCGGGGAGGGGGCGGGCGGGCTCTCCCCCCCTCCCGGCGGCCTGATGCGGCCCCGCTTGTCGGGCGGCGGAGCGTCGCGCTTCGAGCAGCGCGGCGGTGGGGAGGAGCAGCTCAACGCGTTCCAGTCGGACGGCCGCCTGCCTCACCGCCTCCCTCGAGACGCGGGTCTCACGCGCCATGAGCGAGCAAGGGCCGTGCATGCGTAGGCAACTTCCTCACCTCCTTCCTCGAGAAGCAGCAGGAGAAGGAGCGGCTGGCGTCCCTCCCCCTGCCGGGCAGGGAGGTGCGGGAGCGAGGAGGCCCGCACGCGCCTCTCTCTTGAGACGGAAGCCGAGAGCCGCATCCCCCACCCTAGCCCCAGCCCTGTAGGCCGCACGCGCATCTCCCACTGGGACGAGAACCCGAACGCACGCTCCGGAGGCGGAGGCGGAGGCGGCGGCGGAGGCGGAGGAGGAGGAGGCGGCGGAGCCGAGGCGGCGGGCGGCGCGTCGCCTGAGCCAGACTGCGCAGATGCCAAGAGCGCGGCGGCGGCGGCGGCGGCGGCGGCGGCGTCGGAGCGGCTGGCCGCGAGGGCGAGGGAGGAGGTGTGGCGAGGGAGGAGAAGGCACGGCCCGTTGCCTGAGCCTTGCCGCGCTCTTGCTGCAGGCGAGGGAGGAGCGGGTGAGGGAGGAGGAGACTCGCGCCGAGGAGAAGGCTGCGGAGCGGCGCGGCCCTTGTGTCGCGGCGCGGCGAGGGCACGCGCGCGCCCTCACCACCTTCCGCCCTCGCCCTCGCGCCAGGCGCGCGTTTCTCTACGGCGGGCGAGGGCAGGCTCGAGGAGAGGCTGCCGGCGAGGCGGCGGAGAGAGAGGCGGAGAGAGGGGCGGAGAGAGGGGCGGAGAGAGGGGCTCGTGCCCGCGGCGGTGCGGAGGGCGAGCCCGCGCGGGGCGGGGAGGCGGCGGGCGGGGCGGCGGCGGGCGGCGGCGGTGGCGGAGCCGGAGCCGGAGGTGGTGGCGGCAGCGCGCAATCGGCGCAATCGGCGCCCGCAGCGCAGGTGGAGGTGGATGCAAACAAGCTGGCGGCAAAGGCGCTGCGAGCGAAGATGCGAGGCGACACGGCCGAGTACGAGAGGCTGCAGGCGCAGGCGGACGCGGCGGCCGCCGCCGCTCCGCCTGCTCCTCCGCCGGCTGCGGCGCCGTCTGGAGGCGGAGGAGCGGGAGGTCGAGGCACGAACGTCGAGGTGCTTGTCCTGTGGCGGGGGAGGGCGGACATGTCCATGTGCATGTCCAGGACACGTCCACGACATGTCCGAGACCTGCCCCATAGGTGCTTGTCCCGGAGGGGAGCGTTGGGATGCTCATCGGCAAAGGCGGCTCGACGATCCTGGCGAGGGAGGAGGAGCCGCGGGGCTTGCCCAGGACACGTCCAGGACACGTCCAAGACTTGTCCTGCAGGCCATGGAGAAGGAGTCGCAGGCACGCATCCGGCTGCTCTCCGAGCCGGACGCGGAGACAGGCGACGGGCGCAGCCGGCGCCCGCTGCGAGGCGGCAGGCTGCCGTTGACCCGAGGGGTTGCCTCGAGATTCAGGCGAGCGGATCGTGCTTCTGCGAGGGGAGGAGGACGCCGTCGACCGCGCGCAGGCGCTGGTCGGGGATGGGCGCTGTCCGAGGCGAGATCGGCCGAGATCGCACACCGCGCACGGGTCGAGACTAGGCGCTGATCGAGGAGCGGCTGTCCGAGGCGGCGGAGCGGGAGGCGCGCGGAGGCAAGGGGCGGGGCGGCAAGAAGCTCAAGCGGCGCCGGCCAGACAGGGCCCGGCCGGCGGCGGTCGAGATGGTGCCAGCGTTCGACGCGGCGGCCAGACGCTCGAGGTGGTCGAGCGGCCACGAGCGGCGTGTCTTCACACGTCTGGCCGTGAGCAGGCGACCGGGCAGCTCAAGGTGGTCGAGCGGCGCGTCGAGGCGAGCGAGCGGGCGGGCAGGAGGACCGGGAGGTCGGCCGAGATCAGCCGAGATCAGCCGAGATCAGCCGAGACTAGGCGAGCGAGGCGGCGGGCGGGCGGGGCGGCGGCAGCGAGAGCGACGGCGAGGAGGCGCTGTCGACGCGGCGGCCAAAGCGCGTGCAGCGGTTCGACAAGGGGTCGGGCGAGCGGACAAAGTACTTTCGAGACGACGACGCCGGCGCGTCGCTCTCGTCGGCCTCCGAGGGGGGCGCGGCGAGGAGTCGAGCGTTGATCATGCGGACGGCTCCGCAGGCGCGTCGCTCTCGTCGCTCTACGAGGAGGCGCGGCGCGGCGCCGGCAAGACGATCGACGACCACTACGCCGACAACGTTGCGCGGGCAGGCCGCAAGTACAAGGGGCCGGCCAGTGCGGACGACGAGTACGACAACGACGGCGGCGTCGAGATGCGAGCGTCTCGGCCGAGCCAGGAGGGCGTGTCCCGGACAGGCCCACGACACGTCCACGCGCCCACAGGCACGAGTCTCGCCTCAGCCGCAAGTCGGACGCGAAAAGGAAGCAGGCGGAGGCGTCGCAGCAGGCACCGTCTTCCTAGACGCTTCCTAGACGCTTCCTAGACGCTTCCTAGACACTTCCTCTGGAGGCGGCGCAGCGGGCGGCGGTCCAGAGGCGGCGGGGTGCGCTCTTGGACCCTTTCTCTCCCCCTCTCGCAAACTGTCTCTCGTAGGCGGCGGCCGAGAGGCGGCAGGGCGCCCTCGAGCAGACGGCGGAGAAGCGCTTCAACGAGCGGAAGCATCTCGTCGTAGCGCTGGGCGAGCTTGTACTGTCGCGCGCTGCAGGAGGAGCCGGGTTGACCCGAGGTGCCGAGGCTGTAGGAGAGCACGTCTACTTGCGGCTGCAGGACAAGGCACCCATCGGGCTCGGGCATTGCGTCATCGAGCCGATCGAGCACGTCCCCTCTCACGTCGAGGCCCTCTCCCCCCCTCTCTCTCCCCCTCTCTCCCTCTCTCCCCCTCTCTCCCGCTCCCCGCGTTGTGCTCGCATCATTTCCCTAGATGATCTTGTTCCTGTTTTCTGATCCTTTTTATCGTTTTCTGTTTCTGAGCTTTTAATTATTGTGCGCATCATCCCCTGCATATCGGCTGTTTGTCTGTTTACCCCCGGG